TATTTCAAGTCTCTTTAACGTTTTATTATCTGCTTACATGTGTCACTTCTAACTATTACCGTGATGGCTAATCATTATCTGTTTAATTTCCATGCTGTTGGGGCAAGCTATTGCTTGAGGGGCCAGCGGAGTTGAACCCACAACCTATCACCACTAAGGGTGAAACTCATGCTGCTAAGCCATGAGGCCATTGTTATAGTCCTTGTTTTTTGTCGCTGCCATTATTAAGTGGACTCTATTTTTGGTAGTTTTGACTTTTGACCTTGATTTTGAATAATTGAAAGAATATAATACAATTTTTTTTGGTAGTTTACTGACACTAGTTTTTTGGTGTAACATTATTTTAGTGCTTTAGAAACCAGAATTCATTGCTTCTCAACTTCTTCAAGGCGTAATAAAATTATTCTGGAAGAGTGTTAGATTTTTCATCAGTTTTTGCCTTCAACCATATGACTTTAACCTGCTTGCTCCTTAGTCTTCTGAGTTTAGTTTGTCAGCCTAGTAAAAATTCCCTATTGATGATTTTGTTAGCTTCAGATTGGGGTGAAAGCGAAATCCTAAAAAAGTCATCCTGTCCTTGATAAGTATCCAAAATGGCCATCAGTTACTTCTTGTCTTCTCTTCTTGGCCCCGAGCAAGTTTTCTCATTGTTTGAAAGGAAATTTGCTCACGTTATTTGCCTTAAGAACAAGCCAGGTTTATGTTTTAGTTAGAAGCTGTTCTGATGTTTTGGTCTGTGATCTGTTTCTAACATTTTTCCTTATTAGTAGACTTGGCCAACAGAGGCTGAAATGGCTGAAGCTGATAGAGATAAAAAACAGAGACGGATGAGGACTCTCCCTCGAGGCACTTCAGATTATCAGGTCTGGAGTTTATGGCTTCTCTTATTTGAGTGTCTTTCGTTCCTCTCTAGTATTTTTCATGATGCCTTTTTTTCTTGTGATTTACTGATTGCCAAACAACTCTTATTTAATGATTGAAATGCAATTTTTTTATTTAAATTTTCAGGCTGCATGGATTGTGAATGATAGTGATGAGGAGGTATCAGACAGTGACAATGAGGATGTTGATGGCATGGTGTTGGATGAAGAGGAAAATGGGTTTCCCGGTCTGGAGAGAAATAAGTACCTGGACTTTGATGGTGATGAAACTTCCCTGAAATTTGGAGATTCTGAGGAAGAGTTGGATAGTGATTCAGTGATGATGGTGAGCTTTTAACTAGCCAGGCTTATATTGAGTGTACCAGAGGAACCTTAGCCCTTTTGAAATTTCTGTTGCATCAGTTATTCTTGCACATGTAATCTACATGCATTATTTATTTGACTTTCAAATTTGTTTGTGATTTTATGTATAGTTCAATTTGTTGAGCTTTAGTATCGTAGTCCTAACCTCTGGCGGTGTCATTAACTTTTGTAAACCTGTCAAGTGACATTTTGTAATGATATACTTATTGTTTATCAGCAAAAAATGGTCTCTTTTTGCTATATTGCAGGAAGAAGATAGCATGACTAGAGAGAAGATAAAAGATGAACTTAAGGAAATGAAAGAAGCACATGCTGCTGATGAGGGTGATTTGCTTTTCCCTTCCTTTATCTTTGGTATTATTGGTCACATTGGCCACCACTTGACAGAAAGAGATGCATTTACATAAACTCGTATTTGCTTTTTATTTTTATTCTCCACCTTATTCTGTTTAGATGTGATGATCTGGTTCTTATTGAGCATGTCTTATTACAGAATTTCCTGATGAAGTAGATACCCCATTGGATGTTCCTGCTAGGAAGCGTTTTGCCAAGTATAGAGGACTCAAGTCCTTTAGGACTTCTTCATGGGATCCAAAAGTATATAATATATATATGTTGCATTTTAGATTATTTATACTTTTCTATCCAGCCTTTGAAAGCTGAAATCCTGATGTTTTCTTTAACTATACTAGGAATCTCTGCCTCAAGAGTATGGGAGAATTTTTGCATTTGACAATTTGAAAAAGACTCAAAAACATGTCCTTGCCAGAGCATTGGAAATGGAGCAAGAAAACGGGGAAAATTATGTTCCAGTAGGTTCATATGCTAGATTGCATATTATGGATGTACCCTGTGAAGTTGCTTCCAAGCTTTGCGAACTAGCACAATCAGTCCCTATCACAGCATGTGGCTTGTTGCAGCATGAGTCAAAATTATCTCTTCTTCATTTCAGGTATTCTTGCACTTTTCAATTTTTTTAATTCCACTATTAAATATTTAAGTCATAGGTTTATGTTCTTTATTTTCAGCCAAACTAGTGCTTGTATTCTTTCTAAATTTTCCAAGAACTGAAGTCACTTGAGTTTTGCAGTGTGAAGAAGCATGATACATATGACGCCCCCATCAAGTCCAAGGAAGAACTAATATTTCATGTTGGATTTCGCCAATTTATTGGCCGGTATTGTATTTTATTTCAGAGATTGTGGTATTTTTCTCTAAGGTAATGATATTGAGGTAATTGATACTTGATAATTTCTGTGCAGGCCAGTTTTCTCTTCTGAGTTCATAAATACAGACAAGAACAAGATGGAGCGGTTTCTTCATCCAGGCCGTTTTTCTGTTGCTTCAATTTATGCTCCAATTTCATTTCCTCCTCGTCCTGTGATAATGCTGAAGAAAGTTGATGAAGGTGCAAAGCTTGCAGTGGCTGCTGTTGGTTCACTGAAAACTATTGATCCAGATAGGATAATTCTCAAGAGAGTTATTTTAACAGGGTATGTTTTCTCTGTATTCTTTTATGATCATCTGATTGATATCTTGAAATTACTGGCTCTGGCAAGAAAAAGTGATAATAATGGTTGGTCGTATTATCTATTGTGTAGTTTGTGAAATGATCAGACCAATGTATGTTTCTGATATTTGAAGTGTTACATTGTTGTGTAGTTACCCCCAAAGAGTATCAAAACGTAAAGCTTCTGTGAAACACATGTTTTATAATCCTGAGGACGTTAGATGGTTTAAGGTAAGAAAATGTTTGCCCAGTTTACGGAAACTTGGATTTTGCTTGAATTCTAGTGTAGATAAGAGTCTCTCTCTCTCTCTCTCTCTATATATATATATATATATATATGTATATATGCGTGCGCGTATATCCTTATCTCCATTTGTCTATCACATGCACCCCAAGAAATTACATTTTGCCTTTTCACTGTAACATGACATCCTCAATATGGATGGTGATTGCAGCCTGTAGAACTCTATACCAAATGCGGTCTTCGCGGGCGGATAAAAGAGCCTGTTGGTACACATGGTATGTTTCTTAAATTAGAGATTTTTTCATAAATATTATTTTGAGAATTTAGAATGTAGTCATCTCAGATGTTAGCACAGATGATACTCGGTCAAGGGATTTTACTTAGGCATTCCATGCTTTTCATCAGGACATCCTTGTGTCCTTCGTTGTTATCTTGTCTCATTCTGTATCTACTTTCGGTTTTTGGTATTTTGGTATCATTGGCATATCAGCAGTTTGTGTTCGGAAGATTATGCAAGAGCTTACATGTGCTGTAATGGTATAACTAGTTTGAAATTATTCTTTTGAGGAGCGGTTCGTGCAAATTATTGGGGGTACTGGAATGATTAAGAAAATTCTTGAAAAAATAATCCATCATTCTGTGAATCGAGGGTTTTAGCGTTTTCTTTTTTTCTTGTTTAGGGTGGAGAGTATTTCATGTTGTGCATTTCATACGTGTTAGGCTTGTACCCTTTTCTTTTTCCTAGTATATATTAGATATGTGACATTCATCGATTTTCTGGCTTTTTCGCTCAGGGACAATGAAGTGCCTTTTCAACGGGGTCCTGCAACAAAATGATACTGTATGTATCAATTTATATAAACGCGCCTACCCCAAGTGGCCTAGCCATCTTTTCCCACTCACTGGCATTTAAAAGGTTGGTGATGCAAATCAGGGTCAAGTTTTCAAGGATTCTTTGCAATGTTCTTACCCAACAATACGAGCTAGTGATAAAAGAATCAAGGAAGTAATGCAAGCATTAGTAAATGAGCTGACTTAACAATACGAGTTATTGTAAATGGATTGCTAAATCCTATATGGGTCGGAAATCCATGTTAATTTTTGTTTTAATTGCATTTTTTTATGTAAATGAGTTATATTTCATATTTTGGCTGGGAATTCATGTTGGGTTGACTTAACATTATCCGGAATGATTCATTAACTTGAGCTCACTTTGTTTTCTTGTGGTGCTTGAACTCCTGAGAGGATTTGAATGAATACTGAGTTTTTCAGTAAGACGTAGCTTTCTCAGTTCTGCCATATTATATCATTGAACTCGTAAGATATCTCCCTAATATTCAAAGCATAAGATAAGGGTTGTCAAAGTTCGATCTTGAGGGGCTTTAATATTATTCGTAGTTTTAATTTTCTTTGCCTCTGCTTCTATCCATCCTCTTCATGGCTGTGAAGTTTACGTTGATGATGAGGGTGGTGGTGTGGACTGATTGCTGTATGGAATTGGGAGGCTGTTTGAGGCAAAGGTTTTGCATGGCCAATGTGAGAGATGATGGCGATGAATTGCAGAGAAAGATATATGCCGAGTATGTCATTGATTTTGATTTTTGCAGTAGACATCAGGTTCCCATTGCACTTAAGCAGTCGGATTATTCAATCCGTAGGACTTGATTGGCGAATGGAACCAAATAGAAAATAAAATAAAGTGAGACAGGTGAATGCAAGATATCATTATGTTACTAAAATACGTAGCTAAGAATAATTACTGCTGAATAATAATAGTGATAGTAGGATGATTAATATTTCATACGCCATGAAAAATGGTGCCTATAGAGTGCGAGAACTGCAAAATCAGATGAAAACTAGATTTTTCTACAGAGATGAAAACTAGATTTTTCTACACGCAGGGTATCAAAAGCGAAGAATGTAAAGGATTAAATTTAAACCCATTCTCTAATTGATACGCATGACATCTCTGAATCCGTTGCAAACTGGCGTGAGATTTGCCTAACAAAAAATCTAATCATATTGGCAACTCAAAAATACCTGTGCTACATATAAAAAGCAGACCTTCCACAAGCCTGAAAGTTATATCTTACTCTTGTTACCCAAAAAAATGTACAATTAAAGATTGAACTCTTCTGTTACATTCAAACATAACTAGCTGGTATTGTTTACAGACTCCAAAGATTTTCTCTGGTCGAATACAGAACATACAGAATTACAGAATTCTGTCCTGAAGATCCGTCAACAAATTGGAGGCCAGGGAGCTGAGCTTCTTTCCAGTCTCTCCAGCAATATTTTTAATGTTAGATATATCCTGCTGAGCCTGTTGGACAAACACAAAAATAAGGGTGGGGGGGAAACCCGGTTTGAAGGATGCTTATCGATGCAGAAAATTTTAAATCATACCTGGAAGGACAGTCGATTTAAGAGGTCATTAGCAGTAAGATCAATGGAGGATTTGTCATCCGAGTGGCCAAAAAGATCAGCACTGGAGATGGCAGCTGAACCCTAGAAACAACAGTAGGATAATTAGGCAGCATCACCGTGTAACAGCACTTTCTAACGAGGATAATTATTTGCTAAGTTCTTCCATGCTATGGTAAATTTGGTTCAAGAGGGGATAAAAATGCCAACACCAAGCGAGGTTCAACGTTACTTTGAAGCTTTACACTCATCATATCAGAAAGAAACTAGCGTTAGCTAATTTTTTGGATAATAATAATAATAATAATAAAAAAGGGAACTTGAGTGAATGAGAGGAGAACATGATTATATCATATAATAGTTTCTACAATCACAACTACAGAAAATGGATTTTACCCAAAAAAATAAGAAACTAGGGAAAATAGACAACTGCGATCCCATTAGAAGACGATACTATTCTCTAGAATAGCTTTTGTTTTCGAATCAGTTAACATGGCTTTAAGAAATCAAAAGATTGAAATTGTTATCAAAGAAACCACCCAACATTGGCCAAGATGTTTAATATATACAATACAAAATGCACCAGCAATTTATTAATAATAGATACACATACTGAAAATTTCGACAAAGTAATTTGAGCATCCACATCTGTGCCTCTGCTCGGATCCCCAAAAAATTGGGCTGAAGAAATAGATTTAGCATTTGAGAACTTCCTTCTCGCTTCATCAGATTCTTCAACCTGACAAGACCGAGAAAAATATAAAACAGGAGTGATAAGCACTTGTCTCAAGGTGCGCAACCTCAAGACCCCCTACCCACCAAAAAGGAGGTTATTTGTGTATCACATAAAACACAGAAAAATTAAAATCCGTTGGAGAATAATCAAGTGCACATTGCTTACTTGCACTTTTGAGGAATTTGATCCGTAATTCTTTGGAAAACCACTATCCATTCCAAAATCTGCAAAGAAGCTTGATGACTTTGGTGGAGCCACATGACTAATTAGATGTGACCCTCCAGAGTTTGAATCAGAAGACTGGACATCATCAGCATACTCAAACCGAGATGTCAGGGGTGGCCCAGCAAGCAAACTGCTATTTGTTGAGGAAGAAACTGGAGCAGGTGGGTCTTCCGGCTTCTGCTCATAGAGAGACTCACTTGGCTGCATTTTATGTTGGAGCCTTAATAAGAAATTATATCTCCAGTGCGTACTAAAGAATGAAATAATGATCAACCAAGAATTCATTAAACGTTCCCCTTCAAAAAATGCCCATGGTTTACATACCCTTTTAGTAAGTTTCCGGGCACCAAGACCCCCACTCTTCCCTGGCTTTTTTGCACCAATAGTCTTCTTTACAGAAGAAGAAAAGATTGTATGCGAAGCTCTAGGTGATGCAGAACTTTCAGGCATTTCTGGCTTCCGTACAGTGTTCTCGTTTGGTTCTTCCTTCGTTCTAACCTCGGGAGGTCCTTTAGAAATTTGTGCAGGCTGAGAAGCAAGAGGTGATGTTGGCAAACCAGCCTCCTCGGCCATGCTTTTAGCAACTTCCTTTGAAAGAATCTGTCTATACAACTCTGCAGCTCTAGATGTATACTTGGCCTCTATTTTACCACCGTCTGTCCAACCATGTTGCTTAAAGAAAACCTGTGCACGATTATTTCCTCCAAAGCTCATCATTTTCAGTTGCTCAGGGGTCCATGAATCCAAATTCGTAGATCTACATAAAAAAAAATAAAAATAAAAAAAGGCATATGATTATAGGGGGACTAAGCCCTTCCTTCTTTCATGCTTCCTCCGTTTTCCTCTACTTTGATCGTGGAGTAAAATTTCATGAATAGCTAGGTAATGAAAACTTACAGTTACAAAGGCTCAGAATCACAAGGAAATAAATTTAGTGTTCTAAATGCAAATCATTTCAATCTAGCCATGCAAAGGTCAGCTATTACTCATTACCCAAGTAATACCATGATCTTATTAATATACCTTATTTTCTGACTCAAATGAATAGCAAACACAGAGATCTGGAATGTTCCCGGCTGACTTCCGTTATTTTCAGTGAAGTAATTAATTAGCTGCGAGACTCTAAATCCCTTTCACATAGGACAACTGAAGAACGTAACAAAGAATGGCTTCATATCACAGATCAAGATTCCTTAATTCAATAATGCAAGTGAAGGCAATATGATATAGAGGTTTTAAAATAACTAACCTTAAATGAATGCCACCTGTTATGAAGATCAAAACAAAAGAGATAATCTTCAACAAATCCCATTCAGCCTAGAGCCAGTGGCAAACAAAATCTTATTATTATTTCCCTGTAAACCCCTTCATAGCTATGCCAACTAGCCACAAAAATCAACGTTTTGCACACTGCTGTCATTTGCCTTCTGACAACCTATAAATGTTCCTTGAAACAAAAACGTCCGCCAAGATTTTAATTATATTCTTCCTGGATTAAAAATAGTTCTCCCACTTCAAAATTCATGGCCAGCTTCTGAATGCAACTCAATTTATCATTCAAGTTTCAAAAAGTTACTTGAGATCATTCAGCAATGTATTGCGCTATCCTAAACCCATCAGCGGATTCTGCTCATCCAAGCGTAAAAGGCATTGACTCCTTAAGACTGCTCCACGTGCCAATCCCAATAGATAGTCAGCAAAGGAAGCACAGAAACCCTATGGAATCCCAAATTTGACATCTGGGCGCAAAAACGTTCGACATCTTCTTTTCTTATAACAAACGAATAACTCCCAGTCTCCCACCCACAATTTATTTAACAAAAAAAAGTATCCCTTCCTCCTCCTAGAGAAATTATAAGAAAGCAACAAAATCAACTTGCCTCACAAAACTTATGTGGACACCAAGACTGCGATGAACAGCCGAGCAATCGATGCAGAGAAAAATCCCATAAGTGACGGACGCCCAAGTTGAATTCTTTGCATTACAATCGAAACACATCTGTAACACAACCAAGCAAAATTAAAACTCGTATCGCAGATCTGAATCCGATCTCGCAAAGCCAAAAACAATCCGAGTTCAACAAGCTTTTAGAAAAGGATACATTGAGAAACATAAAATTAAAGGGCGAAAAGACAGGAAACCAGAGAGGTTCTTCGTGAAAGGACCTTATTATCGGACTTCGCCTTCAGTTTTCTGAAGACGACGTTCTTGTCGGTGAAGCTTTCGGACGCCATTCGAGAGGGAGAAGAATATCTCGAAAAGTGGTGGGACGCCTGAGCAAAGATATATATACAAGAAGCGGAGGAAATAGAAGGAATCGAAACCGGAGAAACGAAGAAAGATCTCGGAGTGTTTCTTTCTGATCAATCTCCGTCTGAAAAAGGATCCTTTATTTGTGAAACGATAGCTGGATGAAATGACGAAAGTGCCCCGGAGGTTAATGGACTAATGGCAGGCTTGACTCCAGAGACCAAAATATTTGTTACCATTCTTTTTTGTGGACTTGTTAACTTAAGATTAAAGAATCACCTCGATAAAAGATCCTCTAATCAGATAAACTAAAATGGGAATCTCTGTTCATTTTTGTTTGGTGCTCATAAATTTTGACGTTTTATTTACTTTTATTATTTTCAAAAAATGTTTTGATCTTTTAAATTTTTTTATTAACAATCCTTTGGTTGTTTACCATATATCAATTTTTAATATAAAATATCTGTATCAAACGCCAATGTCCATAATTTATTAACAAATCATTTTTTAATTTCCTGTAATGAATAAGAAAATATGTTTAATTAAATTTAAGAAAATTATACTTTATTTCTCACCAAAAAAAATCTTTTAGTAAGAAAATTTTAAATTTGAAAAATATATTCATCTCTCCAATTAAATGATTTCTTATTTAATAAACTTGACACTAATTTTTTTGCAATAAAAATAAATTATAATCATATTATTTTAAGTAAAATAGTTTTGCGTTTGCAATAATTCACATTGGTACATAATCAGTTCAAAAAACATACTTTGTAAATAAAAAAATTGTATTGTATTTTTTTATATAATAAAAGATAAAATGCTTGAAACGATTAATTTTTTAAAAAAAATTAAATGGAGTATGTTTTAATCAAAGGTTTTTTTTTTTACCTCAAGTCAAAGGTTGAATGCATTATAATCATTATCATTATATATATAAAAGTAGGGTTAAAAGCTACGAGATACGAGAAAATGCTACATGTTTATTTTTAGGTTTTTGTAATTCTGTGCTTCAGAATGCTTTTCCTACAATTTTATGCTTTGGAGTCAGGTTTGGGGCTAGGCTTAGGATAAGTTATTATTTTTTAAATGTATATAAATTATATTATTTAGGTTTGAAGTTAGGTGCAGGATGAATTATTATTTTTTGGATGTATTAAAAAATAAATTATTATATATAAAAGTAGGGTTAAAGACTACAAAAAAATGTCACGTGTCTATTTTTAGGTTTGCTTTAATTCCGTGCTTTGGAATGCCTTTCCTACAATTTATGTTTTGGAATTAGGTTTATGGTTAGGCTTGGATGATTTATTATTTTTAATATATATAAAATATATTATTTAAGTTTGGAGTTAGGTGTAAGATGAATTATTATTTTTTACATATATTAAAAAATAAATTTTATCTATTTCAAATCCAAACATATTTAAATTAAAATTAATATTTATACATTTAAAATTTAAAAAAAAAGAATATGTGTTTAAAATTTCCTATCTGTCCTTATGATTTTTAAAAATTTTAAAGCACCCTAGATATTTGTTAAAAATTAAGGTTCATACGATCAATCATATAATAAATTTAAATAAAAAATTATTGATAGATATTGGGTGATTTTCCAAAATTTCAATCATGTAATAAAGTGTATATATATCTATTTGAAATTCGAATATATAGTCTTTAGTTGTAGGATGAAATATTACTAAATATTAAAATTTAAAATTACTCAAAATAATTATTTATGCTAAATATGATTCAAATTTATGAACAAATAGTAACTTTAATTTCAAATCTTGATTCCGTTTAAATTTTGAATTTAAAATTGCTCACAATAATTATTTATGATAACCAGTAATTATATTATATTAGCAATTTAAATTCAAATTTCCTTTAATGTAAATATTATACCAATTATAAATAAGTGTCTTTGGCTACGATTTCATTCCATACTTCCAGCTTCAACTAATTCATGTATAATTCATGCTCTTTTTTATAGGGCAATCAAATTTTTGCGAGTTATGAAACTATCTACTTGTTCATTAGTTATTCCTCATTTCTATAAATTTTTTTTAGCTTCTCCAATTTTTCAAGTAAATTTTTTGACCTACCGCACTTATCCACAAGCATCTAACTCCAACATCCACATACTACTTGGTAATCATAAAGCTGACGCCATTGTAATTGTTAATTACACAACATTTTCCCTTGCCTCTAAATTTAGTCTCGATCCTACTGCAACTTTTCTTTGGTAACTATCTTCAATTGACATCCATGAAAGGAGCCTAAAAATGAATTTTAAAATAGGTGAATAATCTAACCTTGTCTTTAAATTTTATTATGGTTGGCATCAAATCTTTTGGCTCAAATTTTATATTTTTCCTTGTTATCTATATTTTTTTTGGAGTAATGTCTAAGCTTATTGAGATATTTTAGTTCACACAATGGTAATAATATTCCATTACAATATAGGTTTGCATCTCAATCCCAACAAGCTAATATATAGCTACTAATTTTCTATTACCAAAACATGTTATAACTATATGACAATTAACCTTTAGATTAAGACTCACCCAAAATTAACTCTACTTGAAGGTCAAAGACGGCTCCATTAAAAAAGGGTGCTCATGTAATTAGCCAAGTGTCATAAGGAGCGAGGAGAAAGTGAAAAGCATATGAAACAGCACATAATCACTTTGGAGGAAACTTTGACCATTTGCTACAATAAGAATGGCAAGAATGTTGACAGTTTTATTGCATGTTGAAGTCACCACTTGAGAAATAGAAGGTCAAGTCATTGGATTAATGTTGTCATTTGTATAACAAATGAAGCTAATCCCGGTCATATCCAATGACTAATTTGAAGGCAAACTAGGTCATACACACCTAACCTCCTCTTAAGTATTAATAAAAACATATGTATTGTTGAATGATAGTATTTTTAGTTGTTTATGAAATGAGGCAAAGGTGAAGTTCAAGCCAAAGTAACTTTTTCAATGTTCTAGGTGTCTTTTTTGTAATTTTCTACTTTTAAGATAATATTTTAAATATTAATACATACATACATACATATATATATATATATATATATTAATAGAGTAGCTAAAAGATACATAGTTTATAATTTCTAATTTTAAATTTTAAAAGATATGTAAATAATGTAAATAAAATTTTTTATTTAAATGGCAATATTTTTAATTAGATAAAATGAGGCAAGGTTAGATTTGATTCTCTTTTTCAATTTTATTTTTTAAGGTGCCTTTTTAGTGATTGCTTTTAAATTGGATTGAGGATTATGTGATTAATTAAAAAAACTACCCTAGGCAATTTGTTTTGATTTTATTGTAATTACCTAAAATAATAATATCATCCTATATCAATCTAAAACATTATTTTACATAATTATAACCGATTAAAATGTTACAAGTATTGATATTAAGATTCAGATCTAAATATATTAGGGAATCAATTTAGATTTTTGTTAAGATTTTGATTTTTTTTATTTCTATAATATAATTATGTGGTTTCAACGTTAATAATATACTATTTTTAAATTTAATTATTTTTTTGAAAAATCTTTAAATAGTATAATCTAATATGTTGGGTTGGTTTCGATTTAATTATTATATAATATAATTAATTTTTTAATTTTTAAAAATTATGTTTCTAATTATCTCAAAAAATATAATTGTATAATAAAATTATTATTCATGTTGGATTTAAAAATTTAATTATATAAACGAGATAAGTTAATGGTGCAAAACATTATTACGGTCATGTATCATTGGTAAAATGATTTTGCCAAATTAATCATATCTTCTAGAAGTATTTAAAATTTAGACAAAACTGTAATTTGAATAAGATATTTTTTTATGAGATAATTTGAGTAGGATATGTTAATAATCATACTGGTCAACATATTCAGTTATTTTAGATTTTCAACATAATGTATTTAATAATAAAAAGACTTTATGTTTAAATTTTAAGCTAGAGTAGTTAATAAATAATGATTAGAAAAAATTGTTAATTTTAATTTGAATTTTCGTTCTGCATAAATATTATCCTAATTATGATTAAATGGTATATCACCTGATATTTTCATAAACTTGTGAGGAGAGAGACGTGTTAATAAAATTTTAATAGTCAATAAATAAAATATGTGATATATATGTTATCCTGAATAACATAGTCAATAAAAATAATTATAAATAAAATATTTAAAATTAAGTATTTTTGTATTAAATCTAATTCCATGCATTTTATTTTTAAAGTATGTTGAAAAAAAATGATATTTTTAAATCAGCTATGTTAAAATTAATTGCACAAATTCATATAAGAATTAAGAATTAGAGTAGTATTTAAAATTTCCTACTTACATGTATGGGTCTACATCAAAGAAAATAACTTGTGACAATTTACAATATATAAAAAATCAAAACAATAATAATTTATCTAATTGAATTCATAACCTCCTGTGCTATCCATAAGCAAAATTAATTTGAAGGAAAATCACTACATGTTTTTCCCCTAATATTAAGTAACTGAATAGGGATTATTTTTAAAAAAATTACATTGAAGTCATATATAAGAAAAATAAGATTTATTAACAAGTGAACTT